TTCCAAACCCGATTTAAAAAAAGGGGGTGAAAAAACCAGTGCAAAGACACAGAAACGACAATTAAAACTTAAGAGTATACCTCACAATTCAAACCAGGAAGAAACAGAAGTCTTTCACTCTGGGACCATGATGGCTAATAAAGTTCTAGTTGTTCAAAAGTGTCCTTTTGTCTTCTTGATTGTTTTAACTTCTAAAGTTTAAAATACTTCTGGTATTGTACTCATTCTAAACATTGTCAAAAAGGTACAGCAGACAGGTGGCTTGGGAAAGGAAAAAAGGCATGCATTAGAAGCTATCTGCACAGTAGAAAGGACACATCCATACTTGAGTTTCCTGTTTGAAGCATTAGATGGCTTTACATAAATGATACTTCATATTAGAAAGTAATTTAAGAAGTTTTATAATTACTGATCATGTTTGGTGTATTAGTCAACAAGAATCTATTAAACAATTAACTATGTTCTAGGTACTGCGCTAAGCACTAGGGATTCAACAAAAGGTAAAAACAGTTCCTCTCCTCTGAGCTCACATCCTAATGGAGACAACACAAAAAAAGGTGTATATACACAAGATAAACAGACATATACAAGATATACAGTATAAATGGAAGATAATCTCAGAAGCATAATGCTACAAGTGGGAGGAGTGAGGGAGGACTGAGAAAAGCCTTTGGAGTGGAAGTAATATAGTAAGCCACTGGAGTTTTTCTGGGGGGAAGTGGAGCCATGTGGTCAGACGTGTGCTTTAGGAAAATCACTTTGGCAGCTGAATGGAGGATGGAATGGAAGGAGGAGAGGCTATTACTGTCCTCTAGGAATGAGGAGACTAAAGCCAGCCTCAGGGCAACAATTGTGTGAGGGAAGAGAAGGGGACATAGAGGAGAGATAGAAAGGTAGAAATGACAAGACTTAACTGGATATGTGGAGTAAATGGGAGTGAAGAGTATATCTAATTCAGTAGTTTTAAAACTTCTCACTTTAAAGATTAAAAAATTCAAAAATGATATTTACATGAACATTTCTCTGGTAGCCATGCTAGACTAGGTGCAAGTATATTTTTAGCATGCTTCCATTAATACACTCAAGAAACAGTGTCAGAAACATTGAAAAGGAGGTGGGCCAGCCCTGAGGCAAAGATTTGTCAAACTGGAACACAACAGAGTATGAGAAAGAAAGTAATATGAAATAAGTTTGGAAAGGTAGGCTGGAGCCACACTTGTAAAGGGCTTTAATGCCAGATTTTGTATTTTATCCTAGAGGTAACAGGGGATCACTGAAACATCTTGAACAGCTTTCCAACTGAAGTGTGAACAACAGAAAACTAAAACTTCTGACATGCACATACTCTAGAACCTGGTCCTTAGCTACAGACATGTCCTTAGACATATATACTATGGAACTTTTCCATTTACCTATCTTTAGACATACTCAGTTTCAGATTTCCTGTATACAGGCACTCAGTCACAAGATGAATTCACATGACAGGGAATCAAAAAAAAAAAAAGGAAATGGGTCAATTACCTGGACTATGTTTGTATCCTACATTTCTTATGTATGATGATTCTTTCTCACACATCCATACAGACTAAACTGAATGCCAAATTTGGTTATTAACAAAGTCAAACATATAATTCTGGTAAGGAATCAGCCTTCCTCTGGAATTCTAAATAGAGATCATCTGTTCAGATAACATGAGAGTCTACTACTTTAGGTTTTCCTCACTTAGGCCAACACTTTGGTGAATCCAAAACACAACTATGGTTTAACTATCACAACCTTATATCCATTTACTTGATGTTTTGATAGAAACCAACTTTTTTGAAGACTTCCTGTTAAAAAAAACCCCCAACAAATATGTCTAGAGGTACTCCTCTGTATTTTAAGGCAGAGAAGCCTCTCTTGCTCTTTACTATCTATCGATCTATCTACTACTGTATCAAATGTCCCTCTTGGGCTAGCCAGAAGCACCAAAAACCACACCAAGCCCTTCAAATTGAAGCAACTCTGTTCTGCTCAGGCAAGGGAATGGCCAAGATGACCTAATCAGTTTTATCCACCTCTCATTTCAAGAGCTACAACTGCCTATACTTGGTTCTGGCAGACTCTACGGTGTGAAGTCATTCACCATAAAAGGAATGCTGCTTAGCAAAGTGATGCAAACTAGCATGCTCCACCTAATCGGTGAAACGACAGGTAGGAAGTACCTTTTCCTATTCATTTTCCTGTTTTAAGGGAACCTACTTTCTCTATGTCTGCATGCCTAGTTTCTCTTACAAAGCAAAGCTACTTAAAGTGATGCAAACCAGCACGTTCCTCCACCTTAATGTTGCCCAAACAGGTAGGAATTGTTTTTCTTATTGATGTTAGAGCAAGTTTACTTTCTGTGACTAAACAAGTTGTTTCTATGTGGGATCAAGTCTTATTTTCCAAACATAAAGGCAAAAATCAAAATGCATTAATTCTCTGAACTATAATTATTTGTTTTCCTAAAACTCAGAGGGCAACTTTATACAAGCTGAAATTTTTAAAAATCAAATTAATTCTTTTTTATTAAATTCATATAGCAAACTTATCATCCATTATATGTATTGTACCTGTAGAAATGATGAATCAGGAAACTGACAAGGGCTACACAGAGACCAACTGACTATAAATGAGACTGATTTGTGTGCAGATCAGTCACATCTAAGAAAAGGATAGGAAGGCATTTAAGTATGGAGGAATAGAAAATGAATGCTGAAGAAGTAGGATTCTTACATTAACTTCCATAGCAGCATTCAGACTGCTCTAATATTTCAATCTTGGTAGATGAATGTAACTCCTTAAAAGGACAAGAGCTATTCCATTTTTTGTCTTTGTATTTCCTGTACCTTTCACTAATAAAAGTTTATTTAGTTGAGTGCAGACATGTTTAAGAATAAATCAGTATGACTCAGGAAAAAGAATGGCAAACTAATGATTACATTTAGAAAACTTTCAATAAAGAAACAAAAACATTTAACTACCTGCTTAAAAAAAAGTAATCCATTTACTAGAATTCACCAAAAATGCAACCCTCTGGTCTTGAGGAAAATAAAATCCCTGGGTATATCCAGAGAAAATAAGCCACTCTAAATCATGAATCGATATAATATACTGATAATGAACACATCAGTTCTTAAGTCCTCATAATCAAATCTCAAAGCTATACTTGCATTTCTGCAATCCCTTGTACTGTATGTTTTTCCAAACAAAATTAAATTATTTCCTAGTTTATCTAAATGCCAAATGTTTCCAACTGTTCATGACTGATTCATGTTGGGTCACCTATTTGTGTTTTCTGCCTAACCTAGTTCCATTTGTTTACACCAAGGAAATCTTGAAGTAAGAGTGAAATATTAAGGCATCTATGCTTAGCAGGAACAATTATTCAACGGTTTCTTCCAACTTTTTCTTCACACACTGTGTCAGGGTTTCCAACCTAATTTTTATTACACTTACGACAACCAAATCCTAGGATAAATATTAACATTAACAAATACAACTGTGGAAGATAACATGTGAAGAATAAGTTTACAAGGAAAAAGGTTTTAATTTATCATGTAATAGATCCTATAAGTGTCCTCTTCTGGAGGGTGACTTCTCCTGGGTCAAGCCTAAATACTTATTCTTTCCTTGAATTTGCAGGAAAAGCTTTTGATAGGAAGGACTATCGATTAAGAATTAGACTGACATCAAGTCCTTCAACAGGCCATCTGTTGGCACCTAGTCAGCTTTTATTTGCCAAAGACCCGGACCATACTGAAAAGCCACCGTTTCAGAGCTGTCATTCATTTTCTGACGTTGAATTTGGGAAGACCAAATGGGGGGGAAAGAAACGAAGTAAAACACTTTACCATGTATTTTAAGGTTTTAAAACTTCTCCACTATTCCAAATACTACAAATGACTGATTTTCCTTCCAAATTAAACTGCTCTAAATGTGTTATTAAATATGGAATATCAGTAGCTAAAATTCCGTCAGTAGCTAAAATTAAAATAAGTTAAAATACAAAGCAATTAACTAGCATTACAGACTGTCCTGGCATCATCAGGAAAACAAAAATTAAGTTTTTACCAGTTCAATGTCGGCACTATCTTACTATCCACTTTACGGTCATCGCACATATGGGAAAGCATATTGAAAGTATTCCTAAATATTTCTTCCAGCACACTATTCTAAACCAACTTCGATGTCTTTGCCTTATTCAAGAGAAAGCTTAGTCACTACTAGCATCCTCATGCTGATAGGAACTATGACAGCACTACTCGGCTCACTTCCTTTCACCAAGTAACTTTGTAATTTTCTTTGTGCCAAGCCTGGGCTGCAAGGGACAGCTTGGCTACATTTTCAGGTATGTAACTAATCAAATGAAAACAAGGTCCAGTTAACTGATCCATCTCTTGTAGCGAAGTTCCCTTTGGGTCAAAATACAACACAACAATTCTACCCTTTTCGACAGGAAAAATTTAAAAGTCGGTCAAGTTTCCTTTTGACAAAGAGCAAAAAGATTGGGGGTGGGGAAGGGGGAGGGACCTATCCCTTTCTGATCACTTCGCTATTTCTCGTCTAAAAAATTCTGGCAGCCTGATTCCCAAAGCAAGCTGTCCCGTTCTTCTACGGCCACTTTGAACAAATGGCTAACAACTTTATATTCGTAGACCGAAGCAGAAAGTGCAGGGTCGGGCCAGTGGGGTTGGAAGGGACAGACAGAGCCGAGTTCTAGTTGGAATGTTAATTTCCAGCCCCTCCCCCCGCGCCCCTGGACCCAGAAGAAAAGTGACAGGCACAGTTTCCAATGGGGACCAACAAGTAGCTGGATCATGAGTGCAAGGAATGCCCTGGAATTCGGGGCGCGGGATCCCGCGGTCCCGGCCGGAAAGGGCGTGGGAGGGAAGGAGGCTGCAAGCGCCCCTTGCCCAGCACCCCGGCCCCCCCACCCCAGCCCGCGCCGGGAGGGGCCGGACAGGGCGGACACTCACCGCCACGATGACCGTGTCCTCGCCCTGGAACTTGGCGACGTACTTGTCGCCCCGGGCCATCTCGGCCTCGTTGAGGGGCCTGAAGCGGCACATCACCTTGATGTTGCATTCGGCCGGGTCCGCCATCTTCCTCGCGGCCGGGGCCCGAGGCCCGGAGCCCCTCCCCGCCGCTCAGTCTCGGCGCCCGAGAGAGCGGGGCCGTGCGCGGGGGCCGCGCTCCGCCGACCGAGCCGCTCCGCTCCGAGCCGCGCGCCGCGCAGGGCCGGGCTCCCCTGGGGCGGGGGCGGCCGGGAAGAGCGACTCCAACCTCCGGCGCCGGCGCCGGCAGCCGCCTCTGCCCCCTCCCGCCTCACTTCCGATTCAATATGGCGGCCATGGCGGCGGCGGCGACCGGCAAAGCGTCCGGCGTGTGCGGCGGCGTCCCCAGCCCTGGCAGTGGAAGCGGCAGAGACGAAGCAGGGACCCGCGAAGCTAGGAGCGTAGCCTCTTCCCCAGGGCGAGAACGATAGGCTGGGCTTGGCTCCGCTCAGCCCAGGCCACCTCCGCTCTGCTCTGCTCTTCCACCCGCCCGGCTCTGGGAATGCTCGCCCGCCCGGCCCCGGCCCGTACCCAGTGCGCAGCCGCCCCACTCTGGGCGGCGGTGAGCCCGGGAAGCGAGGGAGGGAGGAAGGTGGGGCTAGGGCGCAGGCGTGAAGAGGTCTCCCTCCTCTCCTCGGCTCGGTCTGGTCAACTCCTAGGCACTTTTCTTCCTGCCCGGCTTCTAGTAGGGGTCGTGTACGTCCCAGAAATGTATAGCTCAACTGAATTTTTTTCCCCCCAATAATACCCTACTTTTTATGACTCAACTGAGCTGTTTTATTAAAAAATTTTTTTACCAATAATACCTTTTTATGACAACTGAACTTTTTAAATTTGATTTTTTTTTTAGCATTAATACCTTTGGATGACAATTTTTAAAATTTGATTTTTATTTTTTACCATTAATACCTTTTGATGACAACTGAACAGCTGAACTTTTTTAATTTGATTTTTTTTACCAATAATATTTTTTTATTTAAGAATAAGTAAAATAGCTGGGGCAATGGATAGAATGCTAAACTTGTGCTCAAGAAGACCTGAATTCAATTCCTAACTCTGATGTTTGTTAGCTGTGTGATCCTGGACAAGTCATTGAACTTCTTTCAAGCCTCAGTTGTCTAATCTGTAGATTGAGGAACATAACAGCTCCTACCTCTCAGGCTCATTGTGAGGATCAAATCAAATGAAAACAAATATCAGTCAATAAACATTTATGAAGCCCCTACTGTGCACCAGGCAGTGTGCTAAGGTTGAGGATACAAAGAGAGGCAAAAGATGTTCCCTGCTCTAGAGGAGCTCCCAGTCATGGGAGAGGCAACAAGGAAACTATGTACAGGGAAAATAAGAATCAACACAGAAAAGACACTAGAATTAAGGAGGGGTTCTAAGAGGCCTCCTTTAGAAAGTGGGTTTTTAGCTGGAACTTAAGCAAGCCAGTAGGTGAAGATGGAGAGAGAGAGCATTCCAGGCATGGGATCCTGTTCCAGAGAGGGATGCCTGGAGGCAAGAGATGGAGTGTCTTGTTTGTGGAACAGCCAGAAGAGCAGTGTTACTGGATGGAAGAGTATATGGTGGGGAGTAAGGTGGAATAAGACTGGAAAAGTAGGAAGGGGCTAGTTTATGAGAGGCAACCAGAGCATTTTGTATTGGCTTCTGAAGGCAATAGGAAGCCAGTGAAGTTTATTGAGTAGGGAGGTGACATGATCTGACCTGTGCTTTAGGAAAATCATTTTAGTGGCTGAATGGAGGATGGATGGGAGTGGGGAAAGACCTCAGGCAGGCAGTTGCAGTAATCCAGATGTGAGGTGAGGAGGGCCTTTGCCAGAGTGTGTCAGTGTCAGAAGAGAGATTACAAGGTGGAACCTACAGACCTTGTCAACAGCTTGGTTGTAGGGGATGAGAGATGGTGAAGTGTCCAGGATGATTCCTAGGTTGTGAGCCTGAAGGACTGGCAGGATATTCTTGTCCTCTACAGTAATAGGGAAGGTAGCAGGCAGAGGAGGGATTAGGAAGGGAAAGATGAGCTCTGTTTTGGACATGTTGAATTTGCTATGTTGGCTAGACATTAAATATGGTTTGAGGTATCTGAGAGACTGTTGGAGATGTGAGATTGGAGGTCAGCAGAGAAGTTAGGGCAGAACAGATGGATTTCAGAATCATCAGGTTAGAGATGATAATTAAATCCATGGGAGCTGATGAGATCACCAAGTGAAGTAGTATAGAGAAGAGAAGAGGGCCTAGGACAGAACCTTGAGGGACACTTAGAATTAGAAGGCATGACCTGGAGGAGAATCCAGCAAAAGAGACAGAAAATGAACAGTCAGAAAAGTAGGAGGAGAACCAGGAGAGAATGGCATTCCAAAACCCTAGAGAGGAGAGTATCTAGGAAGAAAGAGTGGTCAACAGGTGTCAGAGGCAAAGAGAATGAGAGTACAGAAAAGGCAACGAGAGCATTAGTAACTTTGGGGAGAATCATTTCAGTGGCATGATAAAGGTGGAAGCCAGATTGTAAGGGGTTAAGAAGGGAGTGAGAGGAGAGAAAGTGAGGCACCTATTGTAGATGGCCTTTTCAAGGAGTTTAGCCACAAAGAGCAGAAAATTTATGGGATGGTTAGCAGGGATGAAAGGGTCAACTGAAGGTTTTTCAGATGAGGGAGATATGGGCATGGTTATAGCCAGTAACAGAGACTGAAAATAAGTGACAGGGTGGGGATGACAGAGGGGGCAGTCTGTTGGAGGAAAAGGAAAGGAGTAAGATCGCTGGAACAAATAGAGGGATTAGCCCTTTTAAGAAGTAAGGCCACTTCATCATGTGAGACAGGAGTGAAGGAGGTGATGGTGGCAGAAGTCATTCGAGTGATAGGAGATGAGGAAGAGGGTGCTCATGGTAAAAGGCCTCAATTCTTTCTATAAAATGTGAGGCAAGGTTCTCATCTGAGGCGGTGAGGGGAGGGAGAACTTTGGGAGGTTTGAGGAGGGACAAAAAGAACTCACTACTGGGGTAGTGAGTTGATAAGGGGGTATAGGAGGATTGCCTAGCAGCAGTGAGGGCCCAATTAAGATTGTGTAACAAATTTGTAGTGAACACAGAATAGTTGTGTGCTTTTCTCTATCTTCATTCAGCAGCATGTGTGTAGGAGTGAAGGTGATGAGCGGTAGGAGTGACCCAGGGCAAATCTTACAGTACTACATAAATGTTAGTTATTGTTATTATTCATGGAGGGGGCAGCAGGTCATAAGAAAGCTCTAGGTAGGACTCACTGTCATTCATTTCCTTCTGGCAGTTGACCCAGTCACATAACTTTCTGTTTAGGGGTCACTTCCAGTTAACATCACTTTTTTATAGTTTGTTTAAATCAAAGACTGTACAAAAAAATGTTTCCTTTCCAAGCAGGGAGAGGAAGAGTTGAAGCATCCCTTCATCAGATAAGGATTTCTGGAGCAAAGAAAGGTTTGAAGGTTTTGTGCCTTTATGTTCCAGTCCTAGGGGGAGGTGTCAGAAAAGGCCCAGATCAGGGATGTAAGAAAACAAAAAAGGAAGGAAAATGAGAGCAAAAATAAAGATATGTGCACCCTATTGTAGGTAAAATGAAGATGATTGCCAAAGAAACATAAAGAAAAACAGGGATGAGTTAGCACAAATAATAAGTACCATTTATATATATATATATATATATAATATATATATATATATATATATATATATATATATATATATATATATATATATATATATTAATATATATATTATATAATATATATATATATTATATATATATATATATATATATATATATATCACTTGACCCTCACAATAACAACTCTGTAAGCAAACTGCTATAGGTCTTATTCCCATTGTACAGATGAAGTTACTGGTCAAAGAGAGTAAGTAATTTGCTGGTATTGCATAGCTAGTAAGGAAACATCAGAGCCAAGATTTAAATCCAGGTTTTCTGGATGTTCTCTAGTCACAAGGTCATGCTGTGGAATAATAAATTTATGGAATGCACTGCAAGTGGGCTAGAGGCATAAAGTAAAATCAGTTTTTAAAAAGTTTCTCACAAATAAAGTGTAGTTGTGACACGGTGGTGTAGTAGAAAGCCAGCCTTGAAGTCAAAAAGACCTTGGTTGAAATCCTGCCACTGACACATCTGGCTGTGTAAACCCGTGCAAAGTCACATCACCTGCCAGTGCCTCAGGCAACATTCTGAGACTCTTAAATTACCCAGAAGGCCCTGATCTGCACTGATAGAGGATGTTACTCACCAGGAGCTCACTACGCAGATGAAATCACCTCATCAGTGGAATTAAAAAGAAAAAAAATAGGTCCATAATGGTTAATTAAGGAAGCTACTCACCATCAAAGCATTTTTTTAATCAACTTTATTTCTGAATACAGCCTTCCCCCTTCCTTGCCCACAGAGCCGTCCCTCTTAACAAAGGATTTTTTTTTCTTTTTGGTGAGCAATCGAGGTTAAGTGACTTATGAGGGTCACACAGCTAGTAAGTGTCTTGTGTCTGAGACTGGATTTGAACTCGGGTACTCCTGATGCCAAGGCCTGAGCTCTATCTACTGAGCCACCTAGCTGATCCTCAACAAAGGATTTTTAAAAAGAGGGCAAAAACAGTTCAGCAAAATTGACACATCCCCTGAGTCTGACAACAGAAGCATTGTTCCATACCCATAGACTTCTAAGTCTGTAAGAAGAGAGAGGTGTATTTTCTATCTCCTTTTTTCCAGACCAGGTTTGGTCATTTTAATTATACAGTGTTCAGTTTGGGTTTTTGTTCTTGTCATTTGCATTGTTGTAGTCATTGTGTATATTGTTTTCCTGGTTCTGCTGCCCTCTTTCATATGAATCTTCTCATGCTTTTCTGTATCTGTCGTATTAAAGGTTTCTTACAGTGGAGTCATATTTCATTACATCCATGTGCCATAGTTTGTTTAGCCAGTCCCCAATCCCTGGCAAGCCTCCTACACTGATTCTATTCACTGAGATTCTCTGAACTCAGAGAGGGGCAATGTGATATAAGAGTTTGAGTGTTGACTTGAAAGTTTAAATCTCATCTCAGATAAGCAATAGCTGGGTGATTCACTTAACCTCCCATAGCCTCTTTTTTTTTCTCTCATAGCCTCTTGTTTC